TAAGTGACCGGGCCGGTCCCGGGCCCTGGCGGGCTAAACAGTCTCGGGCCCAAATCATAGGACCGGCCCACGAGACCGACCCAGGCCCGCTAAAACCGGGCGTTTGGCCCGCGATCCCGGGCCTGGACCTGCCCACTTGTCACCCTTAGGTAGGGGTAAGGTCTGCGTACACACTACCCTCCCCAGACCCCATTAGTGGGATTTTACTGGGTTGTTATTGTTGTTGTATGTTACTATCATTTTGTGCTAAGCAGGAACTTTTTCTTTAGTTTTCACCATATACAGCTTATTTGCTATCACTTTTTATAAAAGAAGCATCTTCCCAGTTCAACCTTCATCAATAAAAGCTAAAGTTGCACAGAATAAATTGGCATACTTAATTAGCAATAGTGATCATGGGTCCTAATTCACACCAAAACCACTAATCAAATCATCCATCTAAAACACCAATTATTGTCACTTTGCTAGCTTTCAACTTTTTCTTAATCCTCTTTCCCTTTATTTCTTTCTAGTATTCAAAGCTCTGTGCTCACCAGATAAGCATCATAAATCATCATTCTTGGTGTACAAGTCTTCAGATTCTCAGTGCATATAAGTCGAAATAGCACTAAATTGATCAGATCCAGATTCCAAAACAATTAAATCATAAATTAGAAATGTCAATCCATAGTTACCATCCAATAAAGATTAAATAATAGCTATACTCATGTTCTGATTCCTAGAGCCAAACTAATTTTTATACGAGGAACCTTTGCAACTTACTCTGATTTTTGCCCAAATTTTGAGTAACAAAGTAAGATCTTCAAAAAGAGTAACCATTTAAAGTCTAAATTAGCTTCAAAATAGATAAGTGGAGCATCGGTTAGAGAAGGTGGAAAAAAGGGATAAAATTAGGAGGGGGAAGAAAAGTGGAATACCAGTGACGGAGTAATTGTACTCGGGAGAAGCAAAAAGGAAACAATCTGCTTCTTCAATTTTCTTACGAAAAGCCTCCACAGCGGCAGGATAAGTGCCGTTGACCTCCAGATCAGTGTTCAGAAACGGCAGTGGCGATATGTCCACGTACTCGATCTCCATACCCTTCATTGAATCCTTGCATATCTCCATTGCTACGCCCAATTACAATCATCAATCAAATATCAATCACAATATGAGTAGCAATTACAAGCACCATTGCACCAAAAGGATATGGTGAAACAATAATTTAAAAAAAGAAGTATACCGGCATGGAGGAGACCACGATTGTAGGAACCTTTACGGAGGGAACCGCAGAGCCCAGCAACTTTGATTACTGGTTGAGATGCCATCACCGCTGCTGCTTGCATTTCCACTCCCGATTTTTTTTTCCTTTGTCTTTTTCTCACTACTTCTGAATTCTCAGATATATGATTGATGGCTTTTCATAAATTTATACAGAGGAACTCGGAAGGTCTGACGAATAGGACGGCGAACCGTCATATGTTTTTTAAAACAAATCGGACCGTCACTGTTGACTTGACTCGGCGGCTTTTGACTTATTTTTACTGTTTCCTGTCCATTACATCATTGTTTAGCTGACAAACTTTGTAACTTAACAACAAACACTGGATCAATATTACTCATTATTGTATTGTATTATATTATTTTATAAATATAATATTTAAATAAATTATATCATTTATTATTGTTAAATAATATTATTGTTATTTGGTTTGACTGTATCGTAATTGATAAGTTTTAAATATTAAATTTATCATGAATTACTCATAAAAATAATTGAAGAAAACCTCTTTCTACTAATTTATCACTAATTATGTATTGTAAATATATTAAGCAATTAAACTCGTGCAAGTTCTAATATATATTTATATCTATACTATATTAAAAGTGGGAAGCCTCTAAGCCTAAAATTAATTTATCTATCTATCTATCTATACTATATTAAAAGTGGGAAGTTCCTAAGACTATAGTTAAATTACAAAAATGCCCATAAAAATGATGGAATCTTTTACCCATTTTAAATATTAGTTAATGATAATATTCAATTAAAAAGAATAATACTAATTTGAAGTGTTCATTTTTTGAATAGTTGTGTCCGTTCAATCGTATTATAACTAACCTTTTCATTCAGTAATAGTCTTTAACTGTTGCAACCTTTAGAGTTTATGCTCTAATACATAGCCAGCGGATGGGCATCATCGACAAATAGAGAATTCAAAGAGATCTTCATTTTGCCAACTTCTCATATAAATGATTTTTCTGGTATAAATTTAACTAATTCGTCTCATGTCATAAAAAATAAACTCCTTGCCTTTTTGTAGTATTTTTCTTCTACTATATATCCTCAATTTGGTCTAACCTCTAATACTAAAGTGAGTTGATTTCATATAGGGTCCGTTAAACACCACTCTATATTATCTCTATCTTTGCGGACTTGCTTTTCTCAAATCCCGTTACAGTTACTTGTGACTTGTGAGTATCATTTTGGTGTTTATTCAGAGATTCTATCATTTTCATATGTTTCATAATTCTTTACAAGTTTTACTAAGTTTATTTTATTTTAATACTTTATCTTTCATGTCATGTGACTCCATGAATGGTATATAATCAAAAGTAATATCTTTATAACATATAGTCTTCCTTAGAAAATATCTACATTAGAAATACCTAATTAGTAATTTCGTAAAAATTTTATTATATTAATCAAGAAAATATCTTAGTTTACATGATTAATGCTAAAGAGACCATTTGTTTTAACTTATTTCTATTATAATGTCATGGACATATATATTTTGGGCATATATAATAAGGTCCATGTATTATAAATTTAAGACATACAATTTTTTTGCATGGGTATCAAAAGTAAAAGAAAATTATTGAAGATGTGTTTAAATGTATGACTCTTTGTCTGAAATCTTCATTTATATATAAGAATAGATCAATCTCAACGGTTGAAATAAATCAACTCATGACCAAAAAGTAGCCCAATAGAAGATCGAGTCAACGAACACACACATTTATTGATAGCCCAATAGAAGATCGAGTCAACGAACACATACATTTATTGATAGCCCAATAGAAGATCGACTCTTTGTCTAAAATCTTCATTTATATGTGTGTGTTTGAAAACTAACAACAGTGGAATTTCAATACGTTGTATATGCATAAAAGAAAAGAAGGATCTAACAACCTTACTTGACCTAATAATCGACAAGACGACAACCATCCTCAAGGTCAGGCTAGTTTAAGTTACTTTTGTGACTATAGCAAATTGTCTACCTAAAAAACAAAGGAATAGAAAATTTTGAGATCTTGAAATTTTTCTATGTTTTTCCTTTCTTTAGCTTTCCTAGACTAAAGGAACCAAAAATACAATGACTATCATTAAAAATTATCACTCTACCATGCACGTCAAGATTGATATTAGGTTTGATAGCGACATTTCAATCTGAACCGAGGAGTGATCGCCTATATACACCTTTCCATAAGACTAAATTATCATGCTAACTGAATGGAGTTTTTCATTGTTTTACATTCTCCGATAAGTCATCCGAAATCACATAAGAACTTTTTTGAATCATTTAAGAGCTATTATATTATTAATGGTCGTTTAGGTCGTGTTAATCCTAACCAGTCTTCGGTGCATAGAGTAGTCGAAATGCCTTTTACTAACAATACCTTTATAAAGAAATTTGACAATGACATTTGCAATTAAAAAAAAAATTAAATGGCTTATCCTTGGAAGAGCCGAAAAATTTAGTAACCACACTATTTTGTGGTAATTCTTTATAAAAATTTATGAATTATTTTTTAGCACAATTACTTTATATTTATCGCTAAATTAATTTCATAATTTTCATGTTAGTAATAACGAATTACTTATCGGAGAAGGATGAAGTAGGAAAAGATAGATACTAGTTACGATTAAAGGTAAGTTAGAATTATATAAGTTTTCATGAAAAATATTAGTTTTTTGTACTATATAAATAAGACAATGTAATTTATGCAATTTCAAAATTTAAAATATAATAAAATTTAAAATTACGTTATAGGGAGATTTTGCTGAAAATCACATGTATCTAATTGAATATTGATTGTTTATCTTAGTAGGATCAGATGATCCAATCATTTTGACCAAGAGTATATTGAAATTTATCTACCACTATTTGTTCTTTAAAAGGCACGAGAACATATAATATATTTGAAAACTAAAGGGAAAACGATATGTAAATTGCTGCTTTCATGCCTCTTAAGGACCCAGCTGCTCCTAAGTTCCATTATATATAAACAAGGCAGAATAGCCTAGAGACAAAACTACTCTCACCAGTTCTTCCTACTTTCTGAAATTTCATCCGAACACTTAAACTTGTTCAAATCTAATATCTTAAATCTCTCTGAGTTGGACAAAATATGTGATATACACGCGTTTGGGTAGCGTGAATTGGTGAATTTAATTTAAAAATGATTAAAAAGTAAAATGAAAAAGAAAAAGTGATAAAGGATCCGAATAATACTAAATTTTCAATGTGAGCCTATTTCCTTTTTTGTCTGTCCAAAAAGAATGATCCCTTTCTAAATTTGAAAATAATTTTGCTTAAACTTACAATTCTACCCTTAATGAGAAGCTTTTATAACCAAACAAATACTCTGGGCCTCTTTTTAAATTGTTTAGAATCACAAATTACAAATTTTTTTATTTTTTTTAAATTCCATGCTCAGTCAAACAAATTCACCTTATTGGAACGGAGGGAATAACAATAAAAAAAATAAAAGAAAAAAGGGTCCATTCTCATTTCAAACTCAGCCACTCACCCCACCATTCTTCTTCCTTTTCGCTGCCACCGTCTNATATATATATATATATATATATATATCTAACCAAAAGATAAAGTCTTAGAAGATATGCCAAATTCTTAATTGAATAAATATTTCTCTTTTCTGGGTTTTCCTGGTTTCATCATCCAACTGTTCAAATCTCAGCTACCAAACATTCTTTTTTGCTGTTTATTTCAAATTTTTATCTATATTCTAAAGAGAAAATCGATTGTCTAATTTGATTTTATTCCTTGAAATCAAACTTATCAATTTATTTCACAAAAGTCACTTATCTATTTTTATCACTTAAAAGTCACTCAACTTTACCTTTGTAACTTAAAAGTCATTCTAGTTCAAAACTTATAAAATATTCAGTAAAAAATATGACATGGCATTACATTTAATTAAAAAAATCTAACAATAATGCCACATAAGCTTAAATAGACCATATCTAAGTTAGACCCTGTATACGGTCGAAATAGATTTCGGTCATAGCACGTCCGATCGAGTTCGAACGATGATCTATCGAAGTAAGATCCCGAAGGTAGAACAAATTAACCTCGAACCCGGGGAGACTGATCCGTGTCGAGTTTAATATCATTATCAAGCTCGAATCGAAATCGAACCATGATGTAGAGTAGATCTATCATGCTCATAATCTAGAGACCAACCAACATTGACCTCGAATCAATTCAAGGGCTCGAGCCAGGATTGAGCTCGAACCAAGATCACGAGCTCGAGTCGAAATCAAGCTCAAACCAAAATCGAGGGTTCTAAGCAAGATCGAGCTCGCAGACAAAAGCCGTTGCAATCCCACTAGAGAGAATCTTTGCAGAAATTATGGAAAAACTAACTTATCATGGGTCTCCCACTGAATGTTTATTTTATTATGCTTAGAGCCAAATCCCTCCACTGTAAAATGGTTTGGTTACCATTTCTATAAAACAAGTTTTTCTCAGACTTACATTGTAATAAAATCGCTATATTCTTCTACAGTAAAGAATCGTTCTTTCAGATTTCTTAGATTGATTCTATTTGTTGAATCCTAAGATTCATTGTTTCTGACAACCTTATCTATTTCGCATTCTCTACAATCTATATTTACATTTCTATTTATCATTATATTTTGTGTTAAGTTACCCCACATATCCTCGGAACTGCGTATAAATTCAACTCTATCCATTTTTCGGATAAACAATTTGGCGCCCACCGTGGGGCCGAGGATAACAGTGGTTATTTGATACAAATCTGAAAAAATACGTCATTGTGCTTTGCGCTTATTTCCGAAAACATCTTGAATTTCGGATCAGCTACGAATAACCACCAATCAAATGGCTTCACCGATCGATAACGAAACCGGCCTTCAAGATGAAACCAACAACTTGGCACCCGGGCCCGGAAGGCCAATAAACAATGGCACCGATGCTCGAATCGAAGTACCCGAAATTTGAGCCGAAATACCATTGGATGTCAATTCACAAATAGCT